AACTCGAACCGGCCTCCGTACCTGCAGAACCCAACGCCGGGGGTGGCCCCGGCGTCGGGCCTCCGATGCCTAAGTCAGTCTCCAATCCAAAGAGAGAGATAGTGTAGTAATCAATCAATAGAGAATGAGAGAATGAGGTACCTTGGCCCCCTTTTATAGGGGGAGTGTACCTTTTGGGCCCAAGTTGGGCTTGACCCCTATCGTTGGGCTTAGATGTCTTAGTGGGCTTATCCTTCAATACATATCCGCTTTATCCATTAAACCGGGTCCAGTATAATATCCTATATCACATTTTATCTAAGATTGAGCTTGAACATTGTTATAATTTTTTAATAAGTGGTTTTCTTCTATTGTCAATCAATTTCACATTAAACCATATTTATCTATATACCTTAACTCCTAATTAACATTTTATCTAAGATTGAGCTTTCTTCTATTAGTAAATTCATTGGGCGGGATTTTTTCCCTCCATAATTCAGGTATGCGAATGATATGCGATTTGTCGCACATTGTTCGCCGTGCTGTGAATAAAGGTTGGCAGGTCGCACATTGTTCGCAGTTCTGCGATTTTGAAGAGTCGCCTCTTCTCCGAAACGTCCCCTCAGTCTTCGGCGAATAATAACGGCGCACATACCAAAGAAATCATTTATTTATTGTCAATACGCTATGCGAATGAAATGCGATTCATCGCATTGTGTTCGCAGTTCTGCTAATTTGAAGAGTCGTTCCGAAACGTCCCCTCAGTCTTTGGCAAAATTAATAGCGGCGCGCGTATCAAGGAGGATAGATATCTTCTTTAACCAGATATGTGAAATCATTTATTGTCAATACTTATGCGAATGAAGTGCGATTCATCGCATTTTGTTCGCACTGCTGCGAATTTGAAGAGTCAATCCGAAACGTCCCCTCAAACTAATAACGCCGCGCGTATCAAGGAGGATAGTTATCTTCATTAGTCCTCTATAAAAGGTACCTGAGATGAGATAATTGAATTATAGGATCAGGACCCATCTTTCAATTCTTTAACTCTCGA